TAATTTTCCCTCGCAACACTTGACTTGGTCATCTCCATTCCCAATTAGCTATGTCCATTCCGAGTATATGCGGATCCTAACCTTAGTGCTTGTTAAATTTGATTTCATTTCGATTGTTTGATTGTTTTGAATACACACACCTCACTTTATCGCTTCGAAATAGCTTAGCTTTGACTTTAGCATTCATTTCCCATTCCTAGTGGTTCGACCCTCGACTTACTCTATGCTTTGTGTAGGGGTGTGTTGAGAGATTATAAATTTTGTTTTGACCAAGGGTAGATTAATTTTCAACGACCTAGTCTCGCCCTAGATCAGCTGTCGCAAGGCGACAGCCTTGTCATCTGGCGCTGGAGTCGGGTCTTCCCTATTTTGCTCTTGCTGCTGCTGTTGCTCGGTTTCGCTCTGAACTTTGAACTTGGTCGTTTCCTTTCAACCAAATACGCTCAAATCTTTTGTAAATTAAATCTCTTCATCTCCAATTTATTGATCCATGTAATTTTGCTTGGACTCCTCTTATCTTGGAGGAATCTCTTGTGTCATATTCGCGGATTTTCGAAAAAATTCGGGAATGTTCTTGCTTGCTGGGATGCACCTGCATTTATATCTTTGACTGTAGGACTTTGCTCATGTAATTAGGGTTGACCTAAGACTGAGTGTTGCTTGACTCATGGTATTTTGATTCACTGTGATTGACTCGACTCAATGTGGCTCGTGCGTGGGTAGTGTTGACTCAATGTGTACATGACTCATGTGTGCATTGTAATGTGATCGTGTGACTGGTGTGCCTCAGTCGTATGCAACCAAAAATATCACAACTAAGCTAACTGCAAATAAACGTAGTTAGGGGAGTCGAGTTCGAATCCACATGGAAAAAGGGACTAATAATTGCAAACCTAAGTGGAATTACTCTAGGAACGTAGTAATCTAAGTAACAAGGGGGTTTTGACAAGCAATGGTGACAATTAAACTAAATCAGAACAATGAACGTAAATAGTATGCAATCAATGAGAATAACGGTCTTGGTTATGCGAAATCCACAATTGAACATACAAATTGATCATAGAAGCCTCTTCAATCAAACACTATTGAACACCTTGTTGTAGAATTCTAAATTCTAAATTCTCATAAGCTAGTTAGAAATAGCAAAGAGCTCCTTTCTAACCCTTTCTAATGTATAATTTAAGACAAGCGCTCTAAATCATCCACAAGAAGAACATAAACGGAGAAATCAACAAGGATTGAATAAATTAACACAAGCGGTCTAATTTCTTCAATAATATTATTCCCTCTTTAAGTTATCAATCAAAAGCATGCATTCATAACCCAAAGTTGCTACTTTGGAAAGATTAATTAGATGCAAGCGAATCTAACAATTCTAACCTAGCAATTGATTAAAGCAAATCATGAAATAATTCAAAGGAATAATAAACATTCAATAGATAATAAAGAGAAGAGAAATCTCACAATTCGTAGCCAAAAGCTTCAATCTTTAACCAAGAATCCGGAAGATTAAGCTTCCATGGATTCTAATTCAAAAACAAAGATTTCTGAAATTTGCCAAGAACCCTAGAAAACTTTTACTTCTCTCTAACTTAATTCTCACTAATTAACTCATTAATTTCAATAATAGTAATCTATTTATATGTTTCTATACTTTAATAACATAAAAACAATAATAATAATAATAATATAAAATCCAAAACACGAGCTAAAGCCGAGCCAAACTGCTGAAAAAGAGCCAAAGAGTCCCGAAATTCTGGAAGAGCCGCTGCCAGCTGCTCTGGACCCGCTGGCAGCGGCTAAGGCAGCAAAACGCTTCCTTCTTCTGGCTGACCCGCTGCCAGCGGCTCTGGCCAGCTGCCAGCGGCCCTGGCAGCGGTTCCTGCTGTTGTAGCTCTCTTTCCTTGCTTCTTCTTCTAGCTTCGCTTCACCTTTTCCTCAAGCCTTCCTCCTTGCTCTTCCAAGCTCCATCACAACTCTCAAATCACGAGCCAAGATCCATCCTCCATATTTCTCCTCATTAGTTCCCGAACTCACTCACTAACACTCATAAATACCGTCTTTTGCACATAAGTGAGATCACCGCCCGAAACTCACAAAAGGTATTAAAAACTCATGCACAACATCAAAACACACCCTAAAAATCTTCTCTCAACCCTTAATAAAAGGCTCATCAAATTCCCCCATACTTGAACCTTTACTCGTCCTCGAGTAAACTTATAGAATAAAACACATCCTCCCCTCTAAGGTTCAAAACAGAAGATGGTGGAATCGAACAAGCTCTATGCATTCAAACTCAACAAAACATCCTAGCAACCACCAACTAACCACCTTCACATTTCACAAACTCCCTTTTCCATTCTAAATTAAACTCATCCCCCAAAATCAACCTAGAACAATAAACATATAGCCAAGAGTAGAAATATTCTCAACCATCCTAATACATGAAACTTTTGATAAAATTGGGCAAACAAGACTCAACTAAACCAAAAGTCCACAAAAACACTTTCACACTTAAAAGTCAAGAAAAACAACTCTAGCATCTTAAATACTAAGGATGACCAACACTTCCCCCAACTTCAACTAACTCCCTAAACCACCAAGATGAGACCTACCCGACACCTCCTTATATCTCCTCCCCTTATGACACCGACTCCGGCAAATAGATTTGAAAATTCACGAACTTTTCTCTCTTTTCTCTCATTTTGCCTAGGAGCCCTTTCGGGTTTTCATCCTAGCCTCTCATCTTTTTCCAAATCTCACTTCCTCACCCACTCATTAGCCACTTTTTTGCTTAGGTCGCCCTTTCGGGTTTTCAACCTAACCGAGCCCCCATTTTTGCCTAAGCCGCCTATTCAGGTTTTCGACTTAGCGGGTTTCTTTTTTTTTCTTTCTTTTCATTTTGCACTTGTTTCATTGAGCCACAATTGAAATAGTTATACAAAACATGAAATTAAGATAACTATACAAAATTCAAAAATATATGCAATGAAAAGCTTCCCCCCTACTTAAATGAGGCATTGTCCTCGATGCAAGAACAACAACAATGAAACCAAAAGTAAGGGAAAAGGAAGAAAATCGTTACCACCTCAATGAGAGGGACCTCCAGAGCCGGAAGAGCCGGCATCACCCCGAGAAGCACGCCTCTCGGAACGACGCAAAGCACGGGATGCGAGGTGATCCATGAACGCCTCAGTCGGGGGCTCATACTGTGGATATTGAGCGGTGTAGAACCGACTCATGCTTCTCTGATATGCAAGCAGCTCTTGCATCCCATCGCAAACCTCCTCCAGTCTATCATCTACCTCAGCCCTCCATCGAGGCCAATCATCATGCCGCACTTCAGCAGCATCCTCACCCCCTTCTTCATCCACATACTCCCCGCCCATTTGAACATCGGGATTCTCCTCCCCCATGTTCTCAACTATCACTTCGGCATCTCCTAAATAAGGAGCAACATCTGGGTCGGGCGCAAGGAGGAAGTCTGTGATGGCAGGGCCATAAGGCAAAGCTCGTCCCTCGGGACGAGGAATTCTCAAATAGTTCAGGCCCTGTGGCCCATATCGCCAGAAATAACTACCGACGACGGGGGAACGCGATAACAAACCAATCTTGACCAGAGTCATGATGTTATAAGTTAGGTACGTCGAATCTACTGGCACAAGATCTGCGGGGGGTGGAACATTTAAATAACAAGCGAGCAGGGAGACCATACCACCCATGCTAATGTGGCCACTTGAATTTGACCGCACTTTCACACAGCTATCTACAAAAATATCGACCCAATTGGGGGTGCCGACACCCTTAGGGGTCATCGCCCACAAATAAGATAATGTAGCCTTGGGAACCTTAGTAGCTTCTCCTTGACATAGTATGGTGGACGAAATAAACCTATGAACGAGTCTAAGGCACGGGTGAGTGATCTTGAAACTGTGATCACCGTGAGGGTCAACTTCACAACCAGTTATAGCTCTCCAAAATATTCGTGATGAGTATGTGCTATGATCACCCCAATGGTTCACCAAAGGGGGTGCATCCCAACCAAAGGCCATTCTAATATCATCATATGATACAATATAATTCCTATTATTCAAATTAAAGGAAATTTGATCACGTCCTTTAGTAAGAGTTGCAAGGAATTCGTACGTATACCTGACATAGGTCGGAGCACATTTGGTGAAGAAATTCTCTAGCCCCACTTTCCTTAGCAAAAGCCTCACCACTTCCTCCATTTCAAGCTCTTGCAATGCTTCCAAATCAAAAAACTTAGTACATTGCACCATTCGTCGCGGTTGTTGAAGCCTAGTCCAAATACCCTTCTCCTTGGAGTTCAACCTCACACCCATGAAGGCATCTCCTTGAGGCAATGGAGGTGCCTCACCATGACTAGAAGAAGCACCTTGCTTCTTGCCCCTTGGGGGTCTTGATGGAGATGATGCTTTAGACCTCTTGTTGTCTCTACCCATGGCTATAAAAAGGAATATGTTCACTTGCACCTTCACCTTCACCTTCAATGAAAATAAATTAAGCTTGCAATTCCACACAACCAACTCAATTTCACAATTGAAATCAAGAAAAATGGTAAACCTTAGGTGAAATTGTGATGGGAATTGAGAATTTGATGAAAGATGAAGATTTGGGAAAGGGAAATTGGTAGGAATTTGGTATAATTGGAGTAGGGGAACGAATGAGTAGAGAGAAGGAGAAGAAAAGGAGTAAGGGTTTATGTGAATTGGGGTTGAGGGAAGAAATAATGAAGTTGGAGTTGGAAAAGGGGAAATAAGGGGGAAAAAAAAACTCGGGGAAGCTTGTGGAGCCGCTGGTAGCGGCTTGAGGCCCGCTGCCAGCGGCTCTGGCAGGTTTTGGGAGATTTTTGGGCTGGAAGACCCGCTGCCAGCGGGTAAGGGGCAGCTGGCAGCGGCTGATGCTGAACCAACTTTTTTTTTTTTTTTATTTTGAAAAAAAAATAAAAACGTAGAGGGGGGTCCCGCTGGCACGGCTCAGGAGCAGCTACCAGCGGCTGGGACAGAAACAAAGGGGTTTGGGCTGCAAGAAGACCCGCTGGTAGCGGCTGCAGAGCAGCTGCCAGCGGCTTCTGCAGGGAAGGCCCCCCTTGTCTCTGTTTTGCTCTGTTTTTGCTGCGTTTCGCGCATAGAAATTGCTCCCAAGGCCTCCACCTACACAAAAACAATAAAAACACTCTTCACATCACACGAAAAAAAATAAAAACTAAACTACGAAAAGTAATGGGGAAGAGTTTTCGATCGGGTTGCCTCCCGATTAGCGCCTTTGTTTTACGTCGTTGGCTCGACGCAACTCATCCCACTTAGCTACTCGGTTGAAGGCTCATAGAGGTCAATGCACTCTATGTTCTCGGATTTGAAACCATCGAAGTAGGGCTTGAGCCTTTGTCCATTGACCTTGAAGACATTGTCGGTCTCTAGGCTCTGAATTTCTACCGCTCCATGCGGGTAGACTTTCACCACTTGAAATGGACTCTCCCAATGGGAGCGGAGTTTATCAGGACATAATTTGAGTCGGGATTTTTATAGGAGGACTTTTTCACCGACTTTAACCTTCTTCCTAGCAATCATCTTGTCATGCCACAACCTATTCTTTGCTTTGTGGTATAAATGGGACAATTTCTTGCCCGGAATTGCAGACGGGCCGATTGTTGAACCTGGTGGTATAGGTGGAAGCTTGGAATGTTCATTAAATTCCCCCACCTTCACCTGCACATTAGTAGGCATAGAGAAATCCAAGCAATCACCAGATACAACATTAGTTATAGGTGTGAGGAACTCATCCCCACGATCATTGTTAGGAACATCATGCACCATTGGATCGACAACATTAAGAGAACATAAAGAATGAGTGTTGACAGGATACTTTATGGAATCATAAATGTTATACCCAATTGCTTTCCCATCAACCTCCATAGTCAAGGAACCGGTAGACACATCGATTTTTGTTTTAGCAGTCTTCAAGAAAGGTCTTCCTAACAAGATGGGGACTGCTTGTTTGTCATGTTCCATGTCAAGCACATAAAAGTCAGCAGGAAAAATCAAACCATCAACCTTAACCAACACATCTTCCACCACCCCCTTAGGATACACATCAGACCTATCCGCTAACTGAATCACTACCCCAGTTCCATGTAAAGGTCCAAGTTTTAAAGATTTAAACAGGGAGTAGGGAATGACATTGATTGATGCACCTAGGTCCAACATAGCTCGGTGCAATGTGGTGTCTCCTATTGTAACAGGAACAATAAACATACCAGGATCACCACATTTTTCTGGGATTTTCTTTTGGAAAACCGCAGAAACATGAGCACTCACCTTTACCTTCTCTTTTCCTCCCAACCTATGCTTTCTCTTGATAGTACACAGTTCTTTCATAAACTTAGCAAAACGAGGAATACTTTTAATCACATTCAAGAGGGGAATATTTAACTCACATTTGCTAAAAGTCTCATAAATATCCTTGTCTTTCTCATACCTTCGAGTATCTTGCAAGGCTTCAGGGAAAGGTGGTGTGGGTTCATAAGAGGGAAAAGTTGGTGGATTCGCCACAGCTTCATGTTCTACTTCTTGCTCTTCAGTTCCAATCAAGTCTTTAGCCCTCTTAGTTGCAACTGCAGTTTCTTGCAACTCTTTGCCATTTCTCAATGTTATTGCATTGACCTGTTTCTTAGGATTCAGCTCCGTTTGAGATGGAAGCTTTCCAGAGTCCTTAGCTTCAAGTCGGCTTACTGCACTAGAGATTTGACTAAATTGATTCTCTAGGTTTTGAATACTTGATCTGGTTTCTTGCTGAAATTGCACCATATTTTGCTGCATAGTAGAAACATTAGAAGTTAATGATCTAATCATTTCTTCAGTTGACATATTATTCGAATTTGAGCTTTGGCCTTGAGGTTTGGGTAATGGTGCCCTATATTGCTGATACTGTTGCTGGCCTTGAGCATTTTGTTGTTGTTGGTTCCCTTGGGAGTTCCCATATCTCAAATTTGGATGATCCCTCCATCCTGGATTGTATGTATTTGAATAGGGATCATATCTTCTCTGAGGACCTTGCCCTTGGAAACCCATTGCATTTGCTTGCTCATTCTGCTCCTCTTGTAATTGAGGACATGCATCAGTGGAATGTCCCATGGAGGTGCATATACCACAAGCATTCAGTTGCTGCGGATTCCTTGAGTTCACCATGAACTCACGCATCATAGAAGTCAAATCAGCTACTTGACTTTCTAACTCAGACGTATTTGAATTTGCTGCATTCACCCGGCGCGTGGGAGTTCTCTGACTGAATTGCCTAGAATTTTCTGCTAGCTCTGCAATCAGCCTAGTTGCATCTCCTGGAGTCTTATTCACTAGCCCTCCTCCACTTGCTGCATTCACCATCCTCAAGTCATCATCAATTAGACCTCCATAGAAGTATAGGATGAGGTCTTGATCGGAATACCCATGGTAAGGACGACTAGCACACAATCTCTTAAATCTCTCCCAATACTCATACAAGGATTCATCTTCCTTCTGATCCACATTGCTGATAGCTTTCTTAAGGCTCGCAGAAATAGTGGCTGGGTAGTACTTCTCAAGGAAACACTTCTTCAAATCTGCCCAATTTGTTATGCTACCTGGGGGAAGATAGTAAAACCAATCCTTCGCTGCATCCTTGAGAGAGAAAGGAAATGCTCTCAACTGAATTTGCTCGTCAGTCATCCCAATCGGTTTCATGCTGGTACATACCACATGAAATTCTGCCAGATGTTTATTCGGATCTTCACCCTTCATGCCATGGAATGCCGGCAATAGATGTATTAGACCAGATTTGATCTCAACATTAGTACCTTCCTCCAATTGCTGATATGCAATGCACAACGGCTGTTGGTTCAAGTTAGGGGCTGTAAGTTCTCTCAGTGTTCGATTTTCTGCCATCACCTCCTCTTCTTGAATGCTGAAAATGTATGTTGATTCACTGGGGGCTGTTCTTGCCTCTTTTCGCAACCTGGAAATATTTCTTTCAATTTCTGGATCAAACTGCAAAACTTCTTTGTTAGCAGAACGGGTACTTATCATACCCTAGAGAACAAACAAAGAGAGTAACTAAGAACAATCCTAAAATAAATTCTACTAAGATAAACAATTAAAAAGTAACGCCTTAATTCCCCGGCAACGGCGCCAAAATTTGGTGTGCCTCAGTCGTATGCAACCAAAAATATCACAACTAAGCTAACTGCAAATAAACGTAGTTAGGGGAGTCGAGTTCGAATCCACATGGAAAAAGGGACTAATAATTGCAAACCTAAGTGGAATTACTCTAGGAACGTAGTAATCTAAGTAACAAGGGGGTTTTGACAAGCAATGGTGACAATTAAACTAAATCAGAACAATGAACGTAAATAGTATGCGATCAATGAGAATAACGGTCTTGGTTATGCGAAATCCACAATTGAACATACAAATTGATCATAGAAGCCTCTTCAATCAAACACTATTGAACACCTTGTTGTAGAATTCTAAATTCTAAATTCTCATAAGCTAGTTAGAAATAGCAAAGCGCTCCTTTCTAACCCTTTCTAATGTATAATTTAAGACAAGCGCTCTAAATCATCCACAAGAAGAACATAAACGGAGAAATCAACAAGGATTGAATAAATTAACACAAGCGGTCTAATTTCTTCAATAATATTATTCCCTCTTTAAGTTATCAATCAAAAGCATGCATTCATAACCCAAAGTTGCTACTTTGGAAAGATTAATTAGATGCAAGCGAATCTAACAATTCTAACCTAGCAATTGATTAAAGCAAATCATGAAATAATTCAAAGGAATAATAAACATTCAATAGATAATAAAGAGAAGAGAAATCTCACAATTCGTAGCCAAAAGCTTCAATCTTTAACCAAGAATCCGGAAGATTAAGCTTCCATGGATTCTAATTCAAAAACAAAGATTTCTTAAATTTGCCAAGAACCCTAGAAAACTTTTACTTCTCTCTAACTTAATTCTCACTAATTAACTCATTAATTTCAATAATATTAATCTATTTATATGTTTCTATACTTTAATAACATAAAAACAATAATAATAATAATATAAAATCCAAAACACGAGCTAAAGCCGAGCCAAACTGCTGAAAAAGAGCCAAAGAGTCCCGAAATTCTGGAATAGCCGCTGCCAGCTGCTCTGGACCCGCTGACAGCGGCTAAGGCAGCAAAACGCTTCCTTCTTCTGGCTGACCCGCTGCCAGCGGCTCTGGCCAGCTGCCAGCGGCCCTGGCAGCGGTTCCTGCTGTTGTAGCTCTCTTTCCTTGCTTCTTCTTCTAGCTTCGCTTCACCTTTTCCTCAAGCCTTCCTCCTTGCTCTTCCAAGCTCCATCACAACTCTCAAATCACGAGCCAAGATCCATCCTCCATATTTCTCCTCATTAGTTCCCGAACTCACTCACTAACACTCATAAATCCCGTCTTTTGCACATAAGTGAGATCACCGCCCGAAACTCACAAAAGGTATTAAAAACTCATGCACAACATCAAAACACACCCTAAAACTCTTCTCTCAACCCTTAATAAAAGGCTCATCAGTGACTCAAAAAATGCGAAAAAGCAAAAATTTTCTGTCATTTTTATGGAGGGTACCGACTTTCTCCCGAAAAAGAAAGACACAAAAAGGAAGAAGTTTTTTATGGTGCATGTTGAATGAGCTTAGTCAAATTTTTTTTTGATACTATCTCTCAAGGTGCAAGGATTAATTCATCCCAGGCTATCTTTGATGAAAATATTTCGGTAACTTAGGCACGGAGGCTAAGAACTTCATACTTTGTGATGCAATGATGATTGATGTTGATATGACAAGGCATGCTTCAACGTCTTGTTAAGATCTCATGACAAAGGGTTCCTAAGGGAAGGACTATTTGGACATGTATCTGTGTTGTGTGTGATAGTGACACTAAGGTTAGGCCGCAAGGGCTAAGTGTGTGGAAAGATAATATTTTTAGAAGAGTCAAATAATGGTGACTATTAGGCTAGGTAAGCTAATGATGTAGGGATCAAGCCCCCAAGTCTAGCTCTAAGTAGATAGGGATGAGCATATGAGATCCCTTGATATGATAGTGATGTGTATATGTGAATGCGAATGCATTTTTATTACGGTTGCACCTCGATGTGAAGTTGCCTACGTATCCGTTAGGAATTAGGCCGAACGTAGCTCTAGCCAAACCTCGCACAAGTGTGTGTATACCACAAAAAGGTCTTTTTAAGGGTTGTAACGTGGTTAGGCTAAAGGTTGAAGAAGAAAGGGATAAAGGCTCAAGACCCTAGACAAACCCCCAAGGTGTGTGTAGACACCCATTTGTGTCTCCCCAAAACTAAACCCAGTGACGAATACCTTTCACGTCGAATCATAATCGAATGAAGTGAAAGTGTGGAAAGTTTAGTGTTGCGGATAGTTTTAATTTCTTTTCTCCTCTCTCTGTTTTTGAAAACCTATTTTAAGAAAACAGCCAACCTAGTTTGGTGGGTCCATGATATGGGTCCAATAGTAGTGTAGTTGGATAGGGCTTGAAAAGAGATTTCCAACGATATATTATAAGCCCAATTCCGATGAATATTGAGGAAGTTATGGCCAAATTACTGAACTGGGCCTGGTTTGAGCCTTACATGCGGCCCAATGATCTAGAGGAGGGCCTAATATGGATTTATCATTCTTAATGAGATTAGGAATGGTTTTAGTCTTCTAGATTCTTCTAGAAGGTTCTTTTCATTCATAATTTAATTAGCATTGATAAATTGACTTTTGTTGACTTTTTAGAGTTTTTATCAGAATTAAAGAATGTTTTTGAGGAAAATACGATTTTATCCTCCTGTACGGCAATTTCTATCTGATTTAAGAAAACGCGTCAATTTCTTAGCCAACGCCAAACGCCAGCTGTAGCGCCTGACGCTACGCTTGGCGCCTGGCGCTAACGTCAGCGTTTGGCGCTAACCTGGTTTTGCGCATCAGAACTCTGTTTTTGTTTTTTCTATCTTTTTGGCTGATTTTCTCTATATATAACTTCCTAAAAACTCCGTTTTCATTCACCAACTCTCATCAAGATTTTCTTGATTACTCTCTCTCTCTTTTCTAAATTAGCTTTCTCTCAAATATAAAAATTCCGCATTCACTAGATTTAGATACACCTAGCCATATTCGAAGTTGCCTTTGCCCTAGACGTGAAAGATTTAATTTATGAGGGTTTGGTCCCAAATCTCTCTTTCCATTATTTAATTTAATTATTGTATTTTATTATTTTCCTTGAAGTTACTAACGTGTGTATTTTGTTATTAGAAAGAGGTACGAGGCATCCAAATAAGTACTTTAATGGTTTAATTGATGTTATGATATAGAGTTCATGCTTAGGTTGTTATTATGAAATTCCTAGTATCATGTCTAGGGTAACTTTAATATTAAGTATGATTAAAATTATGATGCTTCCTGTGTTCTTCCTAATATTTATGATGTTACTATCATGTTAGGGTTAAAGCATTGATTTTTATTGTTTAGTGACATGCTAGGGTTTGTTATTAATCTTGTTAGTATCATGCCTAGGATCTTGCTATTATTATGCTTTAACATGATTATAATTATTATTTTGATGATTATTTATTATGTTGCTTGATATTTATTGTTATTGCTTAATCACACCTTTTATGCATGTTTAAAGGGATTTAGTACTTGTAATCACGCTTAATAAGATAATTAATAATCTTGTTTAGGGTTAATTTGATTATAATTCAAGTGATCGCCAATAATAGTTTATTTGTGCATTAATATTCAACTAACATAGATTAAACAGGTTTAGGGTTAAACCTATTGATTGCATGTTAGTCAAAAAGCGCACATGAATACGATCTGAATAAAGTAGAGGTCTATTATTAGGGCAGGTCCAATCTCTTTTAGATTGGATTTGTACCTTCATCCCCGAACCCTGTTTGGTTCAAGACCTTATGGAGTTGACGATCTCTTGGATCGTTAAGGGGTGTAACCTTCACCTCGTGAACGGTTTACAAGTTCCTAAAAAACTTGTTGGCGACTCCTTTTGCTCTATCTACTATCCCTTTGGACGCCACTGTACTTTAGTGTATGATCACAGTTGGGTTCAAGCTAGGGGTAACGCTTGAAATATTCCCTACGGTTTTTGGCGACTCCACTGGGGAGGATTTCTATTTTAATTCCTGAAATTTATTTTGGCAATGATTTACAATAATAATAAATATCAAGCAACATAATAAATAATCATAATAATAATAATTGTAACAATTATAATCATAATTAAAATAATCATGTTAAAATATAATAATAGCAAGATCCTAGGCATGGTACTAACAAGATTAATAACAAACCCTAGCATGTCACTAAACATTAAAAATCAAAGCTTAACCCTAACATGATACTAACAATCATAAATATTAGGAAGAACATAGGAAGCATCATACTTTTAATCATACTTGATATTAAAGTTACCCTAGACATGATACTAGGAATCAAAATAACAATCTAAGCATGATTTCTATATAATGACATCAATAAAAACCATTAAAGTACTTACTTGGATTCCTCGTACCTCTTTCTAATAACAAAATACGCACGTTAGTAACTTCAAGGAAAATAATAAATCAAACAATTAAATTAAATAATTGAAAGAGAGATTTGGGACCAAACCCTCAGAAATTAAAACCTTTCACGTCTAGGGCGAAGGCAACTTCGAATATGGCTAGGTGTTTCTAAGTCTAATGAATGCGGAATTTTGTATTTGAGAGAAAGCTAGTTTAGAAAAAGAGAGAGAGAGAGAGAGTAATCAAGAGAATCTTGATTAGAGTTGGTGAATGAAAACGAAGTTTTTAGAAAGCTATTAATATAGAAAATAAGCCAAAAAGATAGAAAATTGAAATAGAGTTA